GTTGCGCGGAATATTTGCGCTCGGAATAAATGTGTTATTACACCGGTATTTTTGAAACATGTGGTAAAAAACGCATTTGGTAAACAGATCTATGGAAGCTTACTGCTGTTGAGAGATAATCCACCTCGTCATCTTCCTTTGAAATACGTCCTCTACATCTTTTGCAATTTAGAAATGCAAGTCAATAACAAGTGTTCAAAACTTGGCAGTCGAGGGAAGTATTTGTAATCTGGCGATAATGGTCTAATCATTAGCGATAGCATGGTGCGAGTTTATCGGCTAGCCGCTTATCTCTAATAGGTCGAGAAAGAAAAATAAGAAGCTTTTGAAAACAATAGAGACTGAGAACAATGCGAAAAAGAATTTTATAAGTTATATAATTATATATAAATTACATATAAATATTATTGATATTTTTTAAATGGAACCATATAAATCTTTTTTTCATGACTTAGTTTCCCTAGCTATTCTGCATAAAGATATTAAGGTAAAGCTATAAAAAATGAATAGTTTACGAAACATTTACACGAACTTAAAATATTTTTTCTATAATAATCCGAAATATTTGATACGATATACTAAAACGGTCTATATAACTTCCTTATATAACTTTTCTCAAATATTTATCACGCACAAATACTTTCATTTCCTATATCCAGATGCTCAGATTATAACAAGAAACGCAGAATCAATAATATCGAGAAAAATATATGATAGCAACTTTTATGAATTATACAAGAATGTCATTTTCTATTGTAAATTTATGTGTATATAAGACTTACAGAATTTTTTTTATCGTACTCATTATTTCATCTTTAATTATCTTTGATATACAATTTAGTCCAAACATGAGAAAGAATTGTAATTAATTTATCAATTTTCAAGATAATTTTTTTCAAAAACGCGATGTTTACGAAAAAATCTATATCTTGAATTTATTTCTTCACGAAGAATCATTGCTTCCTCGATAACATTTTTTCAAATCCTATCCTATATAAACCAACAGGACATACAGAGTGGCGCACGCGAAATTTCATTTAATTATTTCATTAAAACTATACTTGTAAAGTATCGCTTTTTTTTAACTATATGTGATCAAATGCTTTACTAATTCGTAAAAATTCTGTATGGCATTACGAGCTGATGAAGATAAAGACACACTTTGTAAAATGACGACTGACTTAAAAAGTTGAACGTAAAATGAAAATTATATTGTTTTTCACAGAAATAAAGAGTGTAGTAGAAACTTGGAGATGTTTTCATCTACATCGTGCAGGTGTGCTATGCATTATCTGAAGATTTGTATCGAAAAGTATAATCGGACACAAAGGCGTATTTCCAAGAAGTTTTAAGACAAAACGGTCATATTGAATGTTATCTATTAGAGATAATTTTCCAAGTTTTGGTAATTAATTCTGTTTCAGTTCAATACCAATTTTGTTAAAAATAAATATTCTATGCAAAAGTAAGTGATATGACAAGGATGCGCCAATCTGCATTTCACACACAAATTAGTCACTGAAAAAAATACTAAATTTTAATAAATATTTCTTTGAATAATTTTAATTGAATGTAAATATTTATTTATATTTCGTACAAGATCATTCATTTAACTAACATTTTTCAAATTGAATGTTTATTTACTGTAAGTAAATAACTTAATATTATTAATATTATATATGTGTTAAGATTTAGTAAATTTTTTTTCAATGTGTATACATTTTTACCTTCACCCAATTTTGTGTGACTCGTGTCACACCTAACAGAATTTCCACGGAGTACAGGATTTGTATTAAACACAGTAGTTCAAATATGAAATAATTAAATGGTACGATATTTCGTGTGCCACTCTATATTATAGACCCGGTTATCAATGCGCACGGTCTTCAACACATTGGTAGACTTGTATAATAATTAATACGTAGATACGTGTAACGGTAAAAATGAAAAAGTTTCTATTCGCGATATCGTCTCGCGTAATATCAGCGGTTTCTTCCGTCTACTGTTAGGGCGCATTCACATTAAGAGTGGAAAAGCAAAATGCGGAAAAGCAGAAGTTGTTTAAGTTAATCGAATGTTGCGTTATTAACAGTTAATACAAACATATACATCTATCTTTCTCTAGCTTTTCTCTTTCGACTTCTGATTAGGATTTCCGTTTTTCCACATTCTGCTTTTCCGCTCCAATTGTGAATGTGTTCTCAGATATAGGCATGATTAGAAATTAGAATGCGTTAAATCGACGGAGTTGGACAATCTCGACCGTCGTAAAAGCTCTTTCCTCTTTGCTGCGGGTTATCAACTGACCTCTTCGCGGCGCGGTTTGCTTATAACGTTATTATAACCACTGATACGACACGCCGAGGATGCAACCTTCGATTTGTCATGCAGTCAAAACGTGTCGCGATTCACTGACAAGCAAAATCCGTTCAAGACGATCCGTCCATGGCCGCCGGGTCACTCTCGTCCTCGGACGTCTAAGTACGCCTGAGAGTGCTTAGACGTAAAGCAATTTTTTTTCGAAAAAAAAAAAAAAGAAGATTGCTTATGTATGTACATATTCTAGCCTTCGTTTAGCACACATCTTTGCTATTTAAAAACGCTTCTGTCGTTATTAGCATTAGGATAAAAACGCTGAGTCAACCATTATGGTATAATATAAAAAGAATAGTTCACGAGATACCGTTTGTTTATGATGAATATTTCTGATTATTAAAAGAGGTATAAAAAAAGAAACATGCGCTCGCGAATGTGCTAGCAACGAGCACTTCTTCATATTTCCCTATTTCTTTAGACGTTATCTCACGTAAACATGCTTCTTTGTACGTGATACTCCCGTCGCGCGAATCATGGAAATAACCACGCGCGGGTGCCACGTGCTTCGGCCAAGACGCGCCATCGATGAATTACCGTTAATCAATTGACTTGGTGCAATAAAACAATTATCGCAAGTACGATTCGAGCGAAATATATTATTGCGACGCACTTTGTGCTCCAATCGCACGCGACTCTACTAAAACATATATCAAAAATTATTTATAAAATAATTATTATTTATTATAAAGTTCACATTGTGAAAAAAGGTCTATTTTTAAGCAAAAATCAAGCCCAAAGAATCAATTAATTAAATTAAAAGATTTTCAGACATCTTTATACGATCACAATGAAATTATTTATACTTTTCTGACTTATATAAACAACATTACGCGCAAAGAAGTAATATCGTCGGTAATCGTAACAACGCAAAAAAACTTGTCGGTCGAACAAATAGTCTCGTACATATGAATCGTATATATGAATTCGTTCCCGGATATAATAACATCAAGTATTATAATGTAACACTTAATAGCGACTGCACGCGCGCGAGCAATTCTCTTTTTTATTTTATCATCATGTCTATTGACGAACGAATAAATACTTTAAAGTCATTTTCCTCAGAATATGTATGTATGTATAATGCAATGTCGTTTACAAAGTGGTATTTCATTTGGCCATTTTAAAAATCACTCAATCTCTGATCAAATAATAATTGTCATTATCCAAGCAACATGGTTACGTTCAAAATAAACGTTTAAAAAACTTAATGTTTTTAAAATTATTTAATAAACGTTATAAAAATGTTTATAAGACGTTAATAACATTTTTATATAAATAGGAGTTTTCTCCGCTTTTAAACAGTATATAAAACGGTTCGGTTAAACGTTTTTTTAAATATAAATTGCCTGCTAGTAAATTATATGGTATTATTATTAATCGACAGTCAATAGTAATTTTCTTTCTTTTATAAAATATCGGTAAAAAAAAAAATTTTCGCGGATACAATCAATTATATCAAGACGATCGCCATTTTAAAACGTAATCTTCATTATTAATGATAAATCTTTGTCCGTTTTATTTAACATCAGCATTTCCAAGATTATAAACAGATCGTTAAGATTCTTTTTTAAGATGCTGATTTACGCGTTACAGTCGATTACTGGACTAGCCGCCATTTTGAAGTACTGTCTTCATATCGTTAATCACGAACTTTGAATATCCGCTTGTTTCATTTAGCGTCAACTTTTCCGAGACTTGCCAACAGATCATTAAACACTTTTTTAAGGTGTCGACGATTCATACAGCGCAATCGATTACGAGACCGGCCGCCATTTTGGTACTGCGCAGCCGAGGTCCCTGGGTTATCTACAGCATGACCGGCGCGACCTTATCTCGAGCGCGGCTTGTTCATCCCGCACAAATTTTTATGTACAATCGCCGGTGCAGAATGTGCGTGTCTGCAACCGATTGCGTAATAGACGGCGGGACATACTCCTCCTTTGGCTTTCCGATTTTTGTGCACACATACCGGCCTCTTTTTTCCCTCCGAGCGATTGTCCTTCGCAATGAGCTATTTGCGGCAATGAAACGAGGCGATATACAGAGAGTTTGCCAAATCATTGCCGCGAAACTCGCAGGAGTATATACTACTCGGTTTTGAAGTTGATCGACAAGATTTGTATATTTTGGGCACGTCCCCAATGTGAGATGCAGGTGGCTCGGTTCTCGTTTCGAGACTAAACGTGTTGAGAAAATAAAATTAAACGATAGTGTTCAATGAGAAAACTTATTGTATATATATTCGCTGTAAATCATATTATTAGTTTTAAAATAGGTTTTTAAAATAGTTGCATGCGCGTATATCTGTTCGGATATTCTATGTAGATGATAAGTGCAGAGATGATAAATAAAATGTGCTATTTAAAAACTTTCAGATATCTAAAGTTGCAAACATCCCCGTCAGCTAAATCGCAATTAAACTCAGGCAGAACAAAAAGTCATGATAACATTAAAATGGTATCAAAATGACTTTCCAAAACATAATTATTAAAAGTCACGTCTTTTCGATCAATGACGATTTATTTTAATATCATTTTAGCGTTATCATGATCTGTTCTGCTTGGGAATCATTCGCCATGGATGACTGTTCATTACACCGTAGATCCATTCGTGGAAGTACTCACCACCGTTCGAGGAGGAACAAAGCGGCGGATGTCCGCCCCTGACGATCACGCTGTCCTTGACAACCACCAGTTCATGGACGTCGTGGCCCTCCATGTCAAGGTCGGGATTGCCCCCACCACTTGCCCCGTTGCACCATCAACTATCAAGGCTGATAAAGATCGATATAAAGGTCGCGCGGATATCTCGGATATCGTTCAAGACCGGAACCGTTCGTCAACGCGAATCGCGAATCATAGCGCCCGCTGGCGCGCGCCGCGGTTACGCCTGAAGTTAGGCGCAAACGCGCGTCCGGCTGATGCGCTCGGCGCTTCACACGCGCAGGGGGTTGAGCCGTACTTCGCGCCTTACTTCGTGCCGCTCGCTCTCTCTCTCTCTCTCTCTCTCTCTCACCGGCGTGACGCGGCTACCGTCTCAGCTATTTTGGAAATATCGCGTGTGTTACCGCGGCGCGATCGCGTCTCCGCGTTATCTGCGACCCGTCGTTTAATCGTCGTGCTTTCGGTGAGATTAGAAAACAAGCACCACGAGCGGAAGGGATGAGAAGCAGCAAATCGATGCGTGATTTAAACACTCTTGTGCGCGCCCGTACACACCCGGCAATATCGATCTATCGTGCTCAATCGCGCGCGTATTAAATTAATTCAATCCAGCACAAGTAAAATTTGAATTAGAAGGCACAAATCGCGATAGAACCTAAATTTGGAAGATAATTCTTGCAATTAAATAACGATTTGAGCTTTCGATAACCCAGTCAGAAATGATAATGGAATCGACATCGAATCAACGTCGAAAACATCAAATCGATGTCGATTCCATTATCATTTCTGATTGGGAAGAACAATTGCACCGTTATACAAATAAAATTCGTCTCTCTCTCTCTCTCTCTCTCTCTCTCTCTCTCTCTCGCTCGCTCGCTCGCTCGCTCGCTCGCTCGCTCTTTATCTCTCTTTGGCGAGTATAAACAGGTAGCAACAGAGAGGGCGCAATCTAAACAAGTTAAAATTAAAACATCTAAAATAGTCAAGATATAAATACGAATCGACTCGCAATTTATCTAGAAAGTTTTGTAACGCTTCGTACTCCTCGCAGTAAATACGTAATATTTGACTGCACTGAAATTAGAGATGCACGTAACATAACGTCCATACTGAACGTGATAGATAAAAAAAATATTTTGAAAATCAATATGTGAGTTTCTTCGAATATAAAGGTAGCTTTATTCGCAAACACATACATTAAGTATTCATAGTTAGATCTTATATTCAAGATCGTCTTAAGTACGGTCTTAAGAAATCACGAACCAAGCAGAAGGCTGCATTAACGTCTTTAGACATTACTTAAGACGGTCTTCAAATAAGACTCGATTATGAATAACAGCTTAAGTCAATCTTAATAGGAATTAGTTTATCAAATATAGGAATTGTCCAAGTTTTATCGAGATTAAATTTTGTCAAGATAAGAAGAGCAATGAAATTAATTTAGATAAGAAGAGCAAGGAAAAGTGAATAGATTGTTACATCTCTTTTTTTATTTTGTTCTCTTGTTATTCTGACTAACAATTTAAAACAAATCGGGAAACTAGTTCGTTCTCTTCGATTGCTAAGATATCGTTAGTTTTCGACTATACTTATGTCACCAACAATTGTACAGATAAAAGTTAATAAATATTACTTGTGTTTTGTTGTACAAAATTATATGAATTACCCACTAATTTGTGGACAGTAATCTGAACATGTTACAGGCATCTAATTTTTTATTTTTACATTTATCGATAATCTCATTCGAACATTGCATATTTTTGAATGTATTTCCCAAAAATTTTTTTTAAATCTTTTAACAATAAAAAAATAAGGAAAAATTAAAAATTGTTTAAAAGAAATTGATGCTGAGATATTAACAATATTCTTTTATTTTAAAAAATATGTGTTTAAAAACGAGAAAATGGAAGACTTAAAATATGTTTAGAAATTTTAAATAATAAAAATAGTTTTAAATATCGCGAATTCCATTTAATAGTATTTATTAACTTCATCAAGACTAACTCGCGATATCGTCATGTGATTCTTGTTGCTTTTACGAAACAAAGATACAAATTCCTGATATAAAGCAACGCCCACGCGGAGACGTATTACAAAGAACAGAAAGCAGCTCGTTATTTTAAAAAAATCATTGAAGAACGAGTATGCAATGAACGCAGCTGTGCGTTTCTATTGTTACAATCCTGATCATGTAAAGAGGATTAAATACCACCGTGAATAGTTGTCGTCGAGAGACAACTCTAGAAACTGCAATGACTAAAATGAAACGAACAATTTCAAAAGCGGTCGACATTTTCGACGAACGGGAAGATATTTCGAAATGGATATGAGATAAAATGCTAAATAATTCGATGTGTGTGTGTGTGTGTGTGTGTGTGTGTGTGTCGCGATCAATTTAAATCTATTTAATAACTTACCGCTCAATTTTCTTTTCAGTGAATGGAATAATTTTCATCGAAACACGTATCCAGGCCTTCTTTCATTCATTCAAATGACAGAAAAGTCTTATTTCATTCAAATTTTCCTGGGAATTCAAAAATCTTTTTACACAGATTCTATAAAACTTGATACATCAATTCGAAAATAAAATCAATAGGAACAAGGAATACTAGATTTCAACTGATCAGAAACCGTGTATTTGAAAATCTATTATTCTCTATTCCTTTTACAATACCTCTACGCTTTTCAATTGTGTCTCAGACTTTACTTTTAACAATTTCCAACATGACATCAAAATGATTCCAAAATGTGTAACTAAAGTAACTTAATTATTTTCAATTTATTTAATTATTTACAATAAATTTTCATTTTAACGTTATATTGATGTTATCGCGACTTATTGTTCTGCTTGGGATCGCGGTATCATGTTAGTTATGTATGTACTATTGCAGCGTTTTTATCATGTATAATATTTGCGCAACGGCAACATTATAACAGTACTTACTGTCATTAAGAATCTCGAAGGATATAATATACTGAGAAGAAAATATCCGGTACTTCCTGACACCCTATCTACCCTCATCCTCCCTGATATATCACACGCCGCATATAGTATTACCCAAACAGCATAGAATATTTATGATAAATATTTATTATTATTTATTTTCTGAAATATTATATAAATATTTTATACATATTTTATATAAAGCTTTATTCGAAATATTATTAAAAGATAGATTAAATATTTAATGTAATATTTATGATAAATATAAATAAATATTTTTGTTAAGTATTTTTTATTTGAATTATAATATTTCTGAGTTTTTTTATTTGAATTATTATGTCTATATTTCCATAGCATTTATTACAAGATATATTTACAATAAATATTTTATAATGTTTATAATCAATATTTATGATTTATGCAATTTAAGATCACAAAAATATTTGCGAAATATTTAAAATAAGCCTTATAAATATTTATAAATATTTTGTAAATATTTTATAAATATTGTGTGCTGTCTGGGTAAGTATAATACGAAATTACATACTATCGACACAGAAATGCACGGCCTCTAAAAACCTTAGTAATAAGAAAATAAAATAAAATAAAAATAAAAATGAATCAAAATTAAAACGAGAGAGAGAGGGAGAGAGAAAGAGGTCTAACCTGATTGGACCGATCGGCGATCGCGGCGCCCTCTTCGTCCGTCTGTCTGTCCGTCCTGTCAAGTGCCACGCGCACCGTTCTGTCGTTCTCACTCACAATCAGTCAGCGACGGCGCCCGGCGCAAGTGACACCTGTTGTGCGTTTGTGTTGGGGACGCGCGCGCGCGCGCTCGCCATGCTGACTATTCCCTCGGCACACGATATCCTTCTGCTCCTTTCTGCCGCTTCCTTCGCGCGAAATCGCTTCTTCCAATTCGCTCGCTCAATTCGGCTCCCTCGCGCGCAACGAACGCGTAAACGGAAGACGCGATTGCGCGCATGCGCTCGCATCCGCTCCCTGCGGACGACGCAACGATACGCGAACGACACTCAAAGTCCGCCCGGCCGGAAAGCGCCGGATCTACTACGGACGGTGCGGACTGCCGCGGGATCGCGGCGCGCACTGCCGCGTCTCGTAGCGTCGCGCGCCCCGCGCGCGACGCCGACGTTTTCTTCCTTTTTTTTTCTCAAACGTGCGCTGAGCATCTACAAAGATACACGTGGAACACGCGCGCGGGATCGTTTCGAAAATCGCCGTCGAGGCCACAATCCTCAAGCAGAATAATTGTCACACGATAACGTTAAAATGAATAGTAAATGATTGAAAAGTGCCATTTAAGTGATAATTTGGTAGTTATTTTAACATCATTTTGACTTACGTTCTATTTGACTCGCGCCTCTCGGTGACAAATTGCCTCTTGCGCGACGTCTCTGCCGGAACCCGAATCGCTCGGGATAGTGTACCCGATGAATACAAAAATTTGTAATTGAGCTTCAAATTATATTTATTCAAAATTTTTACATTAAAAAAATGTAATCATATGTTCATTCAAAATTTTGGGTTAAAAAAAATATTTATTCACAAAAAAACTATGAATATTTAACAAGTATTCATATTCATTCAAACAAGATGTAAACTGAAAAAGAAAGCTCAAATAAGCAATCGTTACCCCTTAACTATAACCGGCACTGTGATGACTTTAAGTAAAAAAAATTAATTTTATTTATTTTTGTCATTGTAATATTCAGATTTTATGAAGAAAACTTAGAAATTTTGAAAAATATTTTAGAAAGCAATACATTTTTTATTTATAAATATCTATTTGATAGAGCGCCATACATTCCAATATAATTTCAGTTACATTACAGTAATGTTATAAACATTTTATAAGATATCTTGGGCAGGTCCTTCATTATGGTCTGCGACCATTAAATTCCGAGATATATTATTTATTCCCAATAAAAATGTCTCTTTGTTTAACTTATAGGTTAAACAAGGACGCATTTCGTATAGGATCGTATAGATCGTTAACTAAGCACACGGTATAATCGTAGTTATTGATTTTATAGATTTGTTTTTTTTTGCAGGCTTGCAAGCTTTGTGCGGATAATACAGAGTAAAAGTGAATACAAACGAAAATATTCGCCATCATATTCAAAAAATATTCATTTAAATGGAATGAAAAAGTATTTATTCGTTTCTTGACGAATAAAAAATAAGTGTATTCGAATGAGTATTTTCATTCATTTTTTATTTATTTATTCGAATATTGGGTGTATTCACCGGACACACTAGCTCGGGATTTATCGTCATCGCACACGAAGTCGAAATACGTACGCGGGTAATCTTACGCACGTTATTAACGATTACCGCTCGTGGCCGGATAAGGCGAGCTATAATATTTAAACATTACTTGGGCTATATTCCAAAACATCCTCTGCCAGGTAGAACACATAATCGAGTCATAATATCATAAGGTGTCATCATGATGTCATTTGACATGTACTTAAAAATAAACTTATAAGTGACAAATAAGCTCATGATGTCTTTATGATATTATGATTTAATTCTGTGTTCTCTATTTGAGCTTCAAGTAAAAATTTCCCTGGAAAGAATGTTTTCAAATGTGGCCCTTAACGAGTCGAATACGAGTCAGTCTTGACGCGATTACGTTTCTTCGTTGGTTTAACTCGCGATAGCGAGGAAAAAAATGTCATACTTTTTAAAATTTTATT